GGAAGTATCGACGAACGCGGCGACGTGATTGGACGAGAGCGGTCTCAGGGGCGGGACCACGGACCAAGTCGCAGAAATCAACAAAAGTGTTTTTAATGAAGTTCAAACAAACACCAACAAACAAGAGAGAGAGAGAGAGAGAGGGATTCTTTAGTCCTGGTCTAGTCCTGGTTCAGTCCTCGTTCAGTCCTGGTCTAGTCCTAATTTAGTTCTGTTTTAGTCCTAGTTCAGTCCTTACTTAGTCCTGGTTTAGTCCTGGTTCAGTCCTGGTCTAGTCCTGGTCTAGTCCTGGTTTAGTCCTGGTCTAGTCCTTGCTTAGTCCTTGCTTAGTCCTGGTTTAGTCCTGGTTCAGTCCTGGTCCTGGATCAGTCCTGGTTTATTCCTGGTTCAGTCCTGGTTTAGTCCTGGTTCAGTCCTGGTTTAGTCCTGGTTCAGTCCTGGTCTAGTCCTGGTTTAGTCCTGGTTCGGTCCTGGTTTAGTCCTGGTTCAGTCCTGGTTTAGTCCTGGTTCAGTCCTGGTCTAGTCCTGGTCTAGTCCTGGTCTAGTCCTGGTCTAGTCCTGGTTTAGTCCTGGTCTAGTCCTTGCTTAGTCCTGGTTTAGTCCTGGTTCGGTCCTGGTTTAGTCCTGGTTCGGTCCTGGTTTAGTCCTGGTTCAGTCCTGGTTCGGTCCTGGTTTAGTCCTGGTTCAGTCCTGGTTTAGTCCTGGTTCAGTCCTGGTTTAGTCCTGGTTTGGTCCTGGTTTGGTCCTGGTTTAGTCCTGGTTTAGTCCTGGTTTAGTCCTGGTTAGTCCTGGTTCAGTTCTGGTTCAGTTCTGGTTTGGTCCTGGTTTAGTCCTGGTTTAGTCATGGTCTAGTCCTGGTTAGTCCTGGTTTAGTCCTGGTTAGTCCTGGTTTAGTCCTGGTTCGGTCCTGGTTTAGTCCCTGGTTTAGTCCTGGTTCGGTCCTGGTTCAGTCCTGGTTTAGTCCTGGTTCAGTCCTGGTTTAGTCCTGGTCCTGGTTTTAGTCCTGGTTTAGTCCTGGTTTCGTCCTGGTTCAGTCCTGGTTAGTCCTGGTTGGTCCTGGTTTGGTCCTGGTTTGGTCCTGGTTTAGTCCTGGTTTAGTCCTGGTTTAGTCCTGGTTCAGTCCTGGTTCAGTTTCTGGTTCAGTTCTGGTTTGGTCCTGGTTTAGTCCTGGTTAGTCTGGTCTAGTCCTGGTTTAGTCCTGGTTGGTCCTGGTTAGTCCTGGTCAGTCCTGGTTCGGTCCTGGTTAGTCCTGGTTCGGTCCTGGTTTAGTCCTGGTTTAGTCCTGGTTCGGTCCTGGTTAGTCCTGGGGTCCTGGTTTAGTCCTAGTCCTGGTTTGGTCCTGGTTAGTCCTGGTTGGTCCTGGTTGGTTTTAGTCCTGGTTTCCTGGTTAGTCCTGGTTCGGTCCTGGTTTGGTCCTGGTTAGTCCTGGTTAGTCCTGGTTCGGTCCTGGTTCGTCCTGGTTTGGTCCTGGTTTAGTCCTGGTTTAGTCCTGGTTCGGTCCTGGTTTAGTCCTGGTTCAGTCCTGGTCCTGGTTTAGTCCTGGTTAGTCCTGGTTAGTCCTGGTTAGTCCTGTTTGTCCTGGTTCAGTCCTGGTCTAGTCCTGGTCTAGTCTGGTCTAGTCCTGGTCTAGTCCTGGTTTAGTCCTGGTCTAGTCCTTGCTTAGTCCTGGTTTAGTCCTGGTTCAGGTCCTGGTTTAGTCCTGGTTTAGTCCTGGTTTAGTCCTGGTTTAGTCCTGGTTTAGTCCTGGTTTAGTCCTGGTTCAGTCCTGGTTTAGTCCTGGTTCAGTCCTGGTTTAGTCCTGGTTTAGTCCTGGTTCGGTCCTGGTTTAGTCCTGGTTTAGTCCTGGTTGGTCCTGGTTCAGTCCTGGTTTAGTCCTGGTTTGGTCCTGGTTTGGTCCTGGTTTAGTCCTGGTTTAGTCCTGGTTTAGTCCTGGTTCAGTCCTGGTTCAGTTCTGGTTCAGTTCTGGTTTGGTCCTGGTTAGTCCTGGTTCCAGTCCTGGTTTAGTCCTGGTTTAGTCCTGGTTTAGTCTGGTTCTAGTCCTGGTTTAGTCCTGGTTCAGTCCTGGTTTAGTCCTGGTTTTAGTCCTGGTTCTGGTCCTGGTTTAGTCCTGGTTCAGTCCTGGTTTAGTCCTGGTTGGTCCTGGTTAGTCCTGGTTTAGTCCTGGTTAGTCCTGGTAGTCCTGGTTTAGTCCTGGTTTAGTCCTGGTTTCCTGGTTTAGTCCTGGTTTAGTCCTGGTTTAGTCCTGTTCAGTCCTGGTTCAGTTCCTGGTTCAGTTCTGGTTTGGTCCTGGTTTAGTCCTGGTTTAGTCCTGGTTTAGTCCTGGTTTAGTCCTGGTTTAGTCCTGGTTTAGTCCTGGTTTAGTCCTGGTTCAGTCCTGGTTCGGTCCTGGTTTAGTCCTGGTTCGGTCCTGGTTTAGTCCTGGTTTAGTCCTGGTTTGGTCCTGGTTTAGTCCTGGTTCGGTCCTGGTTTAGTCCTGGTTCGGTCCTGGTTTGGTCCTGGTTTAGTCCTGGTTTGGTCCTGGTTTAGTCCTGGTTCGGTCCTGGTTCGGTCCTGGTTTGGTCCTGGTTTAGTCCTGGTTTGGTCCTGGTTTGGTCCTGGTTTAGTCCTGGTTTAGTCCTGGTTCAGTCCTGGTTCAGTCCTGGTTTCGGTCCTGGTTTGGTCCTGGTTTAGTCCTGGTTTTGGTCCTGGTTTGGTTCTGGTTTAGTCCTGGTTTAGTCCTGGTTTATGTCATGGTCTAGTCCTGGTTTAGTCCTGGTTCGGTCCTGGTTTAGTCCTGGTTTCAGTTCTGGTTTGGTCCTGGTTTAGTCCTGGTTTGGTCCTGGTTTGGTTCTGGTTTTAGTCCTGGTTTAGTCCTGGTTTAGTCTGGTTTGGTCCTGGTTTAGTCCTGGTTTGGTCCTGGTTTAGTCCTGGTTTAGTCCTGGTTTAGTCCTGGTTTGGTCCTGGTTTAGTCCTGGTTTGGTCCTGGTTTAGTCCTGGTTTAGTCCTGGTTTGAGGTCAGGTATGTCACATGATCTTCTGCATTTGACCCGTCCTTTAGTGTCTCTGGGTTAAATGTTTGTCGGAGGATTTGACCTGTTGTTCTTGTTTTGTTTTAGTTTGATGTCCGGGAGTCGAACCGGGGACCCTGTTGCTGTGAGGCGTTAGTGCACTCAGCAACACATTTCATCATTAGAACCGACAGATCAGGAAGATGTAAGAAATTTAAAATGAAGTACGTGAGAATAGAGAGAAAAGTGATAGAAGAGAGAAAGGAGAGATGGAGAAAGTTGGATGGAGGAGAGAGGAAGAAAGGAGAGAAGGAGTGAGAGAGGAGAGAGAGAATAGTGGGCGGAGTCTGAGGCAGGCTGTGGGCGTGGCCTGGGCAGAGGTTCAGATTATGACTTTATTCAGAGTCTGATCACACACAGAGGAGAGACAGCAATGGAGACAGAGAGGAGAGGAAGACAAGGGGAGAGAGGGAGAGCCCAATCACACAGAGGAAAGAAAGAAAGAAAGAAGAAAGAAAGAAAGACAGACAGAGGAAGAAAAGAGAGGGAAGAGAGGAGAAAGAAGGGAAGAGAGCAGAGGTAAACTGAGTAAAAAAGGTAACAGGCAGACTGAGACTAGAGAAGTAGTAGAGTGAAGTAAGGAGGGAGAGTGAGAGAAAGGAAGAAAGAAAAGAGAGATAAAAGGAAAGAGAGAAGATAAAGAGAAAAGAAAAGGAGCTGTTGAGAAGGGAGAAGGAAAAATGAGGAAAGAAAAGAGTCAAAGAGAGACAGAAGGAGGAAAGAGAGACATGTCCCTCCTTTAAAACCCACACACACAAATCACTGTTTAACATCTTCTAGTTTGTCTCATGAAAAGTGTTAAAAATGTTGAAACTGAAGAAAGAAAAAGGTTAAAATCACCCAAAGTAACTTGATTTATTTTTGCTGTAAAAAAGTGTTTCATGAATCCTATTTTAATTATATTCCTTAGTTGTTTTAGTCCTAGTCCTGTTTTAGTCCTAGTTTTTAGTCCTGTTTTAGTCCTGTTTTAGTCCTGTTTTAGTCCTGTTTTAGTCCTGGTTTAGTCCTGTTTAAGTCCTGGTTTAGTCCTGTTTTAGTCCTGTCCTGTTTTAGTCCTGGTTTAGTCCTGTTTAGTCCTGGTTTAGTCCTGGTTTAGTCCACGTTCAGACCCGGTTCCAGTCCCGGTTTGATCCCGCGCTTGGCCCCTGTTTCTCTGAATGGCCGCGCGCTCTTGAGCAGACAGCGTTATCAGTCTCCATCACCGCGCGCGCTCCCGTCACACACTCACACGTGCACGCGCCCGCCTCACATACCGACACACGGAGGCACGAGAGCACACCGACCGATGTCACCGCGGACCGTCCACCAGCCTCCATCTTTACCGACAACACCGACCTGCGGCGGGAGCATGGCCGGGCACGGCGCTGCTTTCACGGGCACACATTCCGCGGAGGGGTCGGTGTCAGTGCGGGGCTCCTGTTGCTCCGGGTCTAGCTCTCTGTCCGCGGCTCTTCGCGTGGTTTGAACCCGAGTCACAGTCACCCTTCACGGGCACTCGCCTGACCGCTCCGCTCGGCAGCAGCAGCGAGGGGAGGAGAGGACTCTGGCCGCGCATGGAGGCGCTCTGAGCGGACACTGCCTGGGACCGGAGCCGGGGCATTCTCTCCAGGACAAAGCCCGGACCCCGCGGGAGAGGAGACCGGACAGGAGAGTGAAAGGTTCCGGAGGAGGACAGTCGTCTGGAGCGGCACAGAAACAACCACTGATCTCTTTATTTGTGGCGTTCGCTTTGGTGTTGCGCGCACGAGACGCAACAATGACTTGGATTGATTCAGGAGTAATTTCCGAAGGTTAAAGCGACAGACGCGCGTCAGAAGCGGACCACAAGCGTGTCCCGGGCTCCTGTGTTTGTGTTGGAACGCGGATCGGAGCGGAGCGCAGCGGAACGGAGGAGGAACAGGTGGAACCGCGGGTGGCAGTGCGTCCCGGAGCGCAGCGGAGCTCAGCGGGACGATGATCAGGATCTTCCCGGACTTCAGCGTGCAGGTGACGGCCTCGGCGGCGGGAGGAGCCGGTGGAGGGTCCGGCGTGTCTGGAGGAGGAGCGGCGGGGGGCGCGGTGTCCGGGATGGTGAACGCCGCGTCAGGACCGCCTTTGGGCCGCGTGCCGGTGGTGCCAGGACCCGGTGCCACGAACGGGACTCCGCAGAGCGCGCAAGGACTGGGCGCGTATCAGAGGTAAGACCGGACCTGTGGAGCTGTAACACACACACAGACACACACTAACACACTAACACACACAGGGACACTTTATTAAACAAACACACCGCATTACTTTGATCAGGTTTGACATTTTTTCCTTCACAGCACTTCACAAACTCAAATATTGATTACAGAAACTCGAACATCTGTAGATTTTGGTGTCGTTTTGCTTCTGTTCAAACAAACCTTAAATAATATCACAACTAAACAACAAAATAAAAGTTAATTATAGGAATAAAAGTTAATTTCTTTCAAATAAACCGTGGTAAAGTCTTATTAAACGCGTCCTCTTTCTCTTCTGTCTCTGCGTCTGTTGGATTCATGATTTACGCTGCGCTCCAACTCGCGCTGCTCTCCACAGAATGTTCAAAGTGTGCACAGGAGATGCTCTTAAACTCATCATTTTACATTGTCAGAAACTTTTAATTTCTATTTTAATTTCTCCCAAATTTCACTGAATGGACTTGACAAAGAATAACTATTGTCAAATCTCTGAAACTTTTTGTAATTTCCCTTCTAGCCTTGGATCATTTTGTAATTCTCTCTTTAGTTTGTATCAATTAAACAGTTTTTTATTCATGTTTTAAAATACATTTCGAGCGTTGTCTCAATTTTTACGACTGAACTTGACTTAAGAATGATTTGTCAGAACACACACCAAAGAGGAGCAGTGTACGCCTTTTTTCTCTTGAGATTTTAACCAGAAATCTCAAACAAAATCGATCAAATATTGTAATAAAAGAAACGGTTTGATATTTCTCGACGTGACTAAAATTGACAAACAATTTACACATTTTTAAGATTCAGATTTGTGTAGAATCATCTTTGCTTTTCCAGCCTCTCACTCAGCTCTGACCAAAAGCTCTTTCACATTTTAGCTCCCCATCAAACAATTTCTAATTTCAAATCAAAATCGTCCAAAACTGTGAACGAAATCATCAAATTTCGAGTTTTTGATTCATCAGATCTTCCAATTCCAGTCGGTTAGTGTCATGTGTGTGTGCTCTTTTATGCAATTTCAACAATTTTGGATCCACAAATTAAAATCAAATCGCAAATAATTCCAGATTTCATTTAAGATTTCTCTGATTTTTGATGATTTTTTTTTTGGGAGAAAGCGTGTCCGTGTAGCGTTGAATCGTGGCGTTTCCTTCAGACCTGCTCAGAATCTTAACACATTTGTAGTTTTCGCTTTTGCGTTTGGTCTTTCTGACGCTGCTTCTACTCGGCTGCAGTGTTTTTAATTAAAAATCTCATCATTAACTCACCATAAATTTACGTTTTGTGAATTTTCTATTTGCAGTTTTAAACACACAGAATAATCTCACACTCAAAAGTTCAAATTTCTCTGTATTTGTGGAGATTCTAAAACTGTAATGTTTGATTTTGAAATAACTAACGCATATATATATTTTTTTACCTCTAATTCTTTACATAATTTTAGATAATTTTCTGTAATTTTTCTTAACGTGAGCGTAGACGACAGCACCTTCTCCTCCTCATTTGATCAGAAAACAGAAACACAAATACACAAGTCTGAACAAATGTGTCTGGTCTAAAATCAGAGATGCGTTTTTCTTGTTTCAGTCTCATATAAATTGTGTTTTTGTTAAAATCCGCTTTTTAAAATCTGTGTCCGGGTTACTCAGATCAGAACATCGCCAGTCCTGTTTTGGTTCAGTTCTAGTCCTGGATTAGTTCTGGTTTATTCCTGATTTAGTCCTGATTTAGTTTTTTTTTTTTCTTATTCTCATATGTATACTCAGAATGTTTAGTCCTGGTTTAGTCCTGGTTTAATCCTGACTTAGTTCTAAGTTGAGTCCAAGTTTAGTCCAAATTTAGTCCTGGTTTAGTCCAAGTTTAGTTCATTTTTTTTCTTATTCTCACACCTGTACTCAGAATGTATAACCCTGGTTTAGTCCTTCCTTAGTCCTGTTCCAGTTCTGGTTTGGTCCTGATCTAATCCTGGTTTAGTCCTGGTTTAGTTCTCAGTTTAGTCCTGATCTAGTCCAAGTTTAGTTCCAGTTTTGTCTTGTGTTGTGGGTGAATGCAGACACACAAAGCTTTGCAATGTGGAAGAATTCTGAACCATTCAGTCTTAAAATCACACTTTAGTTCTGGTGTAGACCTGGTTTGCTTCTGATCTAGTCCTGATTTAGTCCTGGTTTAGTCCAAGTTTAGTTCCAGTTTTGACGTGTGTTGTTAGTGAATGCAAACAAAGAGCTTTGCAATGTGGAAGAATTCTGAAGCATTCTGAAAGCGGAGATGCGTTTTTCACTATTCCGTCTTAAAATCACAATTTAGTTTTAATGTAGGCCTGGTTTACTTCGGATCTAGTCCTGATTCAGGCCTGATTCAGTCCTGGTTTAGTTCTGATCCTGGTTTAGTCAAAGTTTAGACACATTTTTAATGTGTAACTCTGGTTTGGTCCTTGTTTAGTTTTTCTCTTTTTACATCTGCAGCCACAGTGACGATTGCAACATTTGTGAAGAAATCTGATGGTTCTAACATTGGAGTTGTGTCTTTCTTTAGTTTTATGTATTTAATTTAATTTTATTTTTTTTCATTTTCAGAATTTTCAAATCAATATTTATTTATAGAAGTATGCATATGTTTAAAATGAATTTGTCGCCAGAGTTTAGATGATTTTATTCTCATCATTTTATTCAGAACAAAACTCTACAGACTGTGCTCATATGGTCCCAGTCTTAGTCCTGGTTTAGTCCCGGTTTAGTCCTGGTCTAGTCCTGGTTTAATCCTGGTTTAGTGCTGGTTTAGTCCTGGTCTGGTCCTGGTTTAGTCTTGGTCTAGTCCTGATTTAGTCCTGGTCTAGTCCTGGTTTAGTCCTGGTTTAGTCCTGGTCTAGTCTTGGTCTAGTCCTGGTTTAGTCCTGGTTTAGTCTTGGTCTAGTCCTGGTTTAGTCCTGGTCTAGTCTTGGTCTAGTCCTGGTTTAGTCCTGGTTTAGTCCTGGTCTAGTCTTGGTCTAGTCCTGGTTTAGTCCTGGTTTAGTCTTGGTCTAGTCCTGGTTTAGTCCTGGTCCAGTCCTGGTCTAGTCCTGGTTTAGTCCTGGTCTAGTCCTGGTTTAGTCCTGGTCTGGTCCTGGTCCAGTCCTGGTCTAGTCCTGGTTTAGTCCTGGTTAGTCCTCTGTCTAGTCTGGTCTGTCTGGTCCTAGTCCTGGTTTAGTCCTGGTCCTGGTCCAGTCCTGGTCTAGTCCTGGTTTAGTCCTGGTCTAGTCCTGGTCTGGTCCTGGTCTAGTCTTGGTCTAGTCCTGGTTTAGTCCTGGTCTAGTCCTGGTTTAGTCCTGGTCTGGTCCTGGTCCAGTCCTGGTCCAGTCCTGGTCCAGTCCTGGTCTAGTCTCATTTTGACTCGTGTGTTGAAGAGGAAACACATCAGAGAGCTGTTCTGTTCATTTGAGCACTGGAGGTTGTTGGATTGATTCCCTTATGGCTCATGTGCTATTATTGTGTCCTTGGGCAAGACACTTCACCCACACTGTCTGTACGAATGTGACCTGTGAGTGACTGGTGTTGCACATTGACACCTCGCTTCTGTCTATTTTTATTTTCTGCTGTTCTGAAGTGTCATAATAATAAGAATAATAATAACAGAAACTCATCAGCCGCTGAGTTTCAAACAGGAAGTGAGCGTGGGGGCTCTTCCGGCTCCACTGACTCCAGCTCCAGTTCACTTTCTATTGAGTAAATGCCGTCCCTCTCACTGTAACCGCTGCTGTCAGACTCCTCATTTTGGTCTTAAAATGTTCGTATAAACTCACTCTACATGATCTTAGTGTTTTTATTTCACATTTTTGTTTGTAAATAGGAGAGTTTCAGCTGACGTCATTGTTATTAAAAGCCTGTGTTGCATGCTGGGTAATATTTTGGTCGGAGGCAAGAAACACGATAGCGTCAAACACAGTACGTAACCTGGTGTATTTATCCCTGATAATGGTAAATTCCTGCTGCATTATCAGATGCACAAATAGAAGCACGGAAGAAGGAAAATGTCTTTTTCGTATTCTGAGTGAAAAGAACCACTAACGGTGAATTAAACGACAAACGTAGAAGATCCTAACAAACCGTGGACTCCAAAAAGTTCAACAACACATCGAGACTCTTGGAGGTTTTCATCTTTTCTGCTGTGAATGGCCCAGGAGTTTCCACCAAGTCATTGTGGATATCACCAAAGTGAATATGTGTCCAGGTAGTTGGCGATTCTGACCAGAAATTTGGTTTGGTCCACCTTTTGTCGGGGTTGAAAAGGGTGATTTGGCTCCATCGACGCTTATGACCAATTTCTGGTCAAATGGTCTTGGGTCCTCTGCCGTTAGAGTGGATAAATAACTGGGATCAATACCTTTTACGTGTTTTCTCACTCCGTCCGTCATGTTGAATTAGTGTTTACTGCCGCCGACTAAAATAATTCCCAGCATGCAACGCACGCTTTTGTCAACAATGAAACTCGCCTATAAATTCCTGTTTCTAATATGGAACTCGGAAAAACACAATCGCCACCCTCGTTGAGCTTCATTTGACTGAAACTGAACGCTGTGGGTGACGTCGCACTTAAACAGGAGATATTTGCACACAGATATTGTCTGGATGTTTTAACCCTTCTCTTCTCCTTTTCTTTCTCCTTCACAAAGCCCAAACTTAAGTCTTTAAACTTCTCCTCCTCTCCTCCCTCTGCGCCAATTTTATTTTATTTTTTCCACAAACATTTAAATCTTTAGACGCAGACACATTTTACACTTTATTGTCCCTGTAGAGAAACGCGTCCTCTGCATTTGACCCACGCTTCAGTGTCTCTGGGTTAAACCTCCATCCCGTCCCAAGTGTCTCTTTTGGTTTGACTTGCTGTTCTTGTTCTGGGTGGATGTGGGACCAGGGACCTTCTTGCTGTGAGGTGTGAGTGCCAACCTCGGAGCCTTTTCAACTTTTGAACGAAACATGTCAGTGAGACGTTTATGTTCGTCA